AGTTCAGCTCTGTGTTGTCTGTAAACGCGATAACTGAGTCTGTACCACAAGACGTTTCTCCTCCATTCGCTTGCTAAAAGATTGATTGAAAGAAAGAAAAATTATAGCTGTTAGGAAAAGTGCCTTCAAAAACATTTACCAGACAATTTTCTTTCCTAATCCCACTTTTCAGATCCATTCCCATTCATTTTTTATTAGGCAAAACTCTATATGAGCGTCAAGCTTTTGAAACCCACAGTAAGTTTTCCTTCTTTTCCGATGTATGATTTATGATTTCTCCCTGTATTACAAATCTTTTTTGTTTTAGGGTAAACTCTTAGTCTCGAAATTAACTTTGTAAAGTTGGCGCATTACCTGATTGTCATTGTTCTTCTCTTTCTCTTCTTTCTCCATCTCTTTCTGTAGAAACAATGTTTTAGGGGTTTCCATTAATGATAGATCTAATGGTATTAACCCTGGTTTAGTGACGCTAGAGCAGGTACAGAAGCAAGCGCAAACGTAAGAGGACTTGTTTCGTAGTGAAAACCGCCCAACACAGTAATAAGGCAAGCGCAGCAGAAAGCGCAAGATATAATATTTTTTTCTTGCTCTTGCACTTGATATTTTGGTAGTGAAAACGAAACTCAAGCGCAAAGGCACCCTTTTGCCTTTGATTCTGCGCTTGCTCTTGCGTCGTAAGTGAAAACTAGGCTTTATTCAGTAATCCTCGGCGCGCGATTTTCGTGTCCCTTGCGGTTGAGAAGATGAGATTCTCTTGGTGAAACGTCAGGGGTAGAAGCGTTACGATGTCCTATGTTCCTAACCATAGTCCGCCAAACTATTGCTTTAGAGAAAACACAGACTAGTTTTTGATCACGCGCGCGAGGTAAGAGATCATGACGTAATACCACAGGTAATCCGCATTTTGCTAAGAGCGCGCGTCGATAACATAAAAGCCTGCGCATTGGTTCTTTTCTTTCTTTCAAGCTTATATAGGGCGGCCTGTGTTCCTAAATTGTAATCATACTCACCCTTCGAGCTCGTTCTTGAATCCTTTCCTGGGAATACGTAGGGATCCCGTTATTGAATCGGTTAGTGTATGGATTGACAAATTTACCAAAGCTTGTCTTGACTTTACGCTGCATAAGGAAATAAAATAGGTTATTAAACGCACCATATCAATCCAATTAATTTTACCAAAGGAGCGATAAACGTTGCTGAGAAAGCTGCTTTTATAGGGGTCTTTATCTATTTATTGANAGCACAAAATGAAAATTATTGTACAATGCATGACGTCATGACCCAATATCAAAAAAATTATTGAACGCTCACTTCAAGATATCAAACATGTCTGACAACATCCATACTGTAACGTCACAGCACAATATGAAAAGTATTGTACAATGCATGACGTCATGACGCGATATGAAAAAAATATTGAACGCTGACTTCGCTGATGTCTGAATGATAATCCCAATCATTACCTCCTCTGGTTTTGCCTGCTCTTCTTCCACGTTCTTGTCTTTGTTCAAGTCAGGTGTAGTTTTCTAATAACAATCTTAGTGTTAATATAATCATGTCGTCGATAAGTGCACTCACGACTGACATCTTACCAATTAATCCCGATGTTTTACCGATATCTTAACGATGACTTATCGACATCTTAACGATACCATACCGATATTTTATCGAGATSTTACCGATAACTTATCGATATCTCCGCTATATCTTGGAAATCGTTCCGATACATTAGACGCGATATCTTACTGGATATCCCAATATCTTACCGATAAAGTTTCCCACCAATTCTGTTTCCTTCTCTTCTTTTTCTTCCTTTTTTTCGTTTCCTGAAGAAGAATAAAGCTTTTTAGCATCGATCACAATTATTAACACCGGCACCACTATCGTCCTCCTCATAATCACAGTCATCAGTCTATTCATCGCTATCATTATGACTGCGTCTATGACTACGACTATGTACGATATGACTGTGATTATGACTTACGCTTGAGTTCTTCTTGGAAACCCCTCCAACTTCTTCTGGATCGCTGTCAGAATCACTAGAACTAAAACGGTAGAATGTTATTAACATAGCGGTAACGTAAAACCGAACCACAACCTAAAAGACAACGAAGGGAATAGCAGGGTTTGGCTGTATATTAACGTAAAAAAACGTAACGTAAAGCGGATTTAGGCTTTCTTAAGGCCCGTTTACAGCGCGATAATCGCCACTTTGCTATCGCGCAACTAAAATTATACGTGTAAAGAGCCCTGCGATTGTTGCGGCGATGGAAAATCACCGCGAAGTTGCAGCCAATTTTCAAGCATGTTCGAAACTAAGGCGATGGTCGCGCGACGATCGCCGCAAGAATCGCTCTGCAAAAACCGCAAGTGCTAACGGGCCTTTAACGTTAAGGACTAAACCACGCACTCTAAAGAAAACTATACAGTACAGTATGCAACGCAAAACAGAGAATCACACGTAACGCAACATTACAGTGACGTACTGCCAGCCAAAACAGAGCTAACGTAACGTACAATAACTTACTCTGACTCCTCGTAACAGTTTGTCAAGCCAAGTCCTTCAAGGATTTTGATACAGTCATTAAACGAGTCAACGTGAATACTCTTAACCGCAACCTCGTAGTCACTGTTACTCGACTCGTTGTTTTTACTACTCAAAGAACGCTGTACATTCACATCAACAAAGTTCACATCCTTCACGGCTGGTGTAATCTTCATTCCCCTTCTATCAGAGCTAATGAATTGCACCCTCTCCGTMTCGTTTCCAGTTGTTTTCGWYGCGTTTTCGTAAGGTTTGCTCGTAAGTTGCTTGTTTGAAATGCCGCTTTCTGAAAGCATTTTWAAGTTGCCTAGACTTTGACGTAGGATGTCACGAGTCATTTTGCATGCCAACTCGACAAATGCTTGAGTCATTTCGTTCCTGAAAGGAAACAACATACAATTCTGATTAATTCTTCATCGGAATCAGCTCGGAGAACTTCGGTGGATGATACTGTGTGCCCGAACTTCGTCGGAGTAAGCTCGTGATACTCCGACGGAGAATGCCGAATTACCGAACCTCCGTCGGAATGATTCGGAGAACTCCACGCAGGATGCCGAATTACTGAACCTCCGTCGGAGTGATTGGAAGTACTCTGATTTTTTAGTAACAGTTGTATCATTAGTTTTTACCTGTTGGCGCTTTTTGCCTCCGAGTACTCCATCAATACTTCGCAGAAATGTCGTCCCATGTCTTCAAAGTCATGCGTATTGAAGTGTCTCCCCCTCTCYCTGTCACGTGATAGATAATCACGTTAATTCCAGAATATCAAAAAAGATATAACACACGATTCGAGTCAATACAACTGGTCTATTCTTCCTAAATACGCCTCAGATAACTCACATGTCTCCAAAGTTCGCTCCACAAAACGTTGCCTCCATAGTGAAGCTGTTCATTATACCAAGCTGTCTCCACATCACAACACGAGCCGTGGACTCTTTACACTTACGAACAATRAACTTACAGCCTTGAAACGAGAACTTGTCTGGGGCCTGGAAACAAACACGTGATATCGTTAGACCAATGACAGATAGGAAGTCATTCTATCCCATGAATCTTTGCGCCGCAAAATTAAATCTTTTCCTTGTTGTGACGTCATGAGAGTACACTAACCTTCTGTGACATCATCCATGGAAATAGTCTTTCTTCCAGAAAGTTCGAAACTGAGCCCATACTTGGATCAGCGGTGCATCCATACATAAATACGTTCGGCTTTCGACTGTGGCCGTGRAGATCGCAGTATATAATGACCTGGGTATGAGTGAATAATTCAAACGGATTGCATAACACAGGAATATTTGATGGCATCAATACCCCCTGCGCCATGTTGTAAGGTGGCTAAGCCTTTGCAATGAAGCGAGACAGTGTTCAGTTTGCAGTGAAAGGAACGTATCCCTAGTCTCCTTCGCAGCCTCCCTTTTTGTCGGGCTTCCTGTCCTGCGAAGGAGACTAACGTACCTCACGTACTTGAAAAAATTACTTAGAGGTATCTATGAGCTCGCTTCGATGCAAAAACATCTTTCAATATGGCGCCGGGAAGTGTAGAACGGAGGCCGGAGTATTACCCTGTCAATAGCGTACCTGGTGATTTTCCTTGAATGATTCAAGCATGGATTTTGTATGCCAAACGGTAGGRAAACTATCCTAGAAAAACAACATATGTCTTAGCACATCGCAATGAGATTGATGATATAATAAATGATAATGACCATGATGACATGGATACTGATGATAGTTAATCAGGAAACATAGCAAAGGATGAAAGCAGGATAAATAGTCTTACACACCATGTTATCATTGTCATAAGCATTCCTAAAACCTGTCGCAACCCGCTATAGATGCACACTGCGCATATTTTCGTTACGAAAAAAAACCTCGTTTTAATGCACGGGCCTTTTGAACGCTATCGCGCGACACTGTAATCGTCTATAAACCCACCTTGTGCGGTTCCTTGTAAGTCCTGTTGAGGTCCTTAGCAGCGAGGTTTGTACGGTAGTTACCGACGATTACTCCGTCGGGGTTCAACATCGGTACAATCTTGAAAACAAACTTTTGGCGAAGACTCTATAAAAAGTAACTCTGTAAGACTTTCTGTAAGACGTGTAAGACCGTTTTCCGAATATTCGCGTAACCAGTAACACAATGCATACATCGGTTGAACAAGGCTCTCTAGTAGGAAGGCCTATACTTTTATCCCCCACCACGAAGGTCTGATATTCATGTCCATGTTATACCCAGTCACAACGCAACCAGTTATGACCAGTGACCACTCCCCTTGATTGACAAGCAGCATTGATTCGACATACCTCTGCAACTGGGTCGTTACACGTCAAGTAGTCCAARACACCTTTCATCATCCAACTAGCATTAGTCTCGCCTGGATGAACACGTGCACTAATGACCACGCCCAGTTTCTTATTGTCTGGAACTGTATGAATTAGCATAAATTAGCTACCAAGATGACATCATCATAGAGGAATATGATGTCATACCTTTTGATGACGTAATTGTTAGAACGTGACAGTTGTTTCCAGCTCGTGTCTTGCAAAGAACCTAGTGGAACAACAACGATATTAGAAAATGGCCTTCCAAGGCAATAGTTAGATGTTGCGCCTTTGGGACCCCTTTTTAGTGCATAGTCTCTCTCGGTCATGCGAGTAAGACAGGAAGCCCAAGAGTTGTCAAGGAAGAGGTAATTATGATATATACGCACCTCTTTCCTCACATGATGTGACGTGGCTGGACTGTCAACCAGTGTTTTCAGGTACATCTCAAGGTCCGAGTAGGAGTATGGGTAGCAGTGAGCCAAGTAACAAACATCTTCACTACATGGGAACTCCTAATAAAAACAAAATCAACTTTGTATCATGTGACTGTGGTGGTACAGAAGAAAAAGAGTTATTCATCAAATGCAATAGTCAATGTGCAGTGASGCCATTTTGTGCAGCAAAGCATGATAGTAGTTGTAGTCCTCGTACTGATTATAGACCCTAAAATATCTCTCTAATAGCTGTTTTTATGTTTTCTTTGTAGAAACGGCCCAACTTTTTCTATTTTTWAGAAGAAAAAGCAAAAGCTGCTTAGGAGGACTGTTATAGCGGACATAAAAAAGTACAAAGAACTACAACTACCATCATACTTTGCTGTACAAAATGGCGCCACTGTAGAGATTGTTCTTACCATCTGGAAACTAAGCACATAGTAGACAAGTTCTTTGGCCAACAAAGGGTTTATTTTTGGTGATGTATTCCTTGTATAGCTAATACTATGTCCTGTTCGCCTCCAACCAACTTTCTCATCATCTGCTAGTTTTTGGGAGTATAGTAATGGCTTCATCCCTACAGAGTAAAATGAACTAATTAGATATTCAAGTATGTTCACAGAAATTGCTAGCTCACTGTGCTTGAAGCTTTAGGRAATGCACACATTGATTAAAAGTTGTTGGGCTCCCTGTGTCTTTTGCTAGAAATATTTGTTTGACAATGTACAAATGTACAAATGTACAATATACAATATTTTATCATAGCGATGTTTTCCATACCATAGTTGTATAAACTGTCTCGCTTCAAGAGGTTTACAATGTTGAACTTGTAYGTCATACCAGGGRTCATATTCTCAACTCGGAAGTAGTACCTGGTTGTAAAATATTCAAAAAATCATGTGTTGCCAYATTCAYCTGAAGAAAACTTTCTTATCCTTATYYYTGTATTATTTGGATTATCACTAGCCCCTCCCCCTGGGAAATGTCACTACCCCTACCCCAGGGGAATCATCACTACTCCCTTTCCCTAATTGATTTTCCTCATAAAAATAATAATAAAATCRCTTTCTTATCCTTATCCYTGTATTATTTGAATTTTCATTACCCCCTACCCCAGGGGGATGTCACTRCCCCTACCCCCAGGGGAATCATCACTACCCCCTTTATTCTCCTAAAATATTGTCCTGGAAATCACCAATTTCTCAACGCTCACCATTGCGTATGTCTTTTAGTGTACAAGTCAGTTGTTTGTATCAAGTCATATTCACACTTTCCACTGAAATAATAGAAAAAATGATATTATTATAAACACTTATTTACTAGGAATGCAAGCAACAGTATGTTTATTTATTGTAACAATATCTCATGAATATGATGATGATGGGACAGTGTCCATCTTGGTTGAATGAACAATAGACTAATGAGAAATCCTTTGTTGAAGTTCAACCAAGATGGCTACTGTGGCTTATGTTGCAAACAAATAATGCGCCTATTGAAAATGTTACCGAGTAAACAGTAGTTAAGAAAGAAGGGATAGAAAAATATGGCCAAGACAAGACAGGCTCATTCTTATGTTAATGTGCCAACCATAATCAACGCTTTGTTCTAACAACCAGTCTTCTGGTTCGCACACGAATAACAAAGGCTTACATCACATTTAGTATCGATATACTACCCACAAGTACATTGAAGTATAATTATTGTGTTTTGGATGCTAATTAAGAGACATCAAGACTATTCTTACACTCGCTTGGCCTGCTGGAGATTTCCACATTCAAACCGAGACTCAAACTTTAGATGAGGAATGCATCCTGTTGGTGCAGTGGGGCAAAGCTGTTGAAAAAATTTATATGCAATACTTTTAATTATGTTTGAAAAAATTATAAAACTATCATATTAAGGCAAATAATATGACGCTCTTAAAAGTGGAGAGACAGCATTCAAGAACTTCTCCCATCAAGCTCATTCTATATGCTCTTCTCACTTTCCTGTATTGTACATACTATGAATAAATAAAACTTATTTTAATACCTTAACATTATTTCTATCATACACAATAGATGTTCCCTTCCATGGTCTTGGAAAGAGAACCAAGTCATCGTCCTTGACGACTGTTTGAGTACCTAGAAAAATAATTGCATTGATTTAATTAACTGATTTGTTAGTGAAAGTTTTGCCTGTACAATACTTAATTAATGCAAGTGTTGTTTCATGAAATATTAACAATGGAACCTCTAGTTAGTGGCAGACATTATTTTGATGGCTTTCTATGATGGGAATCATTTATTAGTGTTTCATGGGTTACAGTCACTCCAGACAAAAATAATAATACTTAAGTATAGATATTAACAAAAATAAATATAATCTAATAAACATGTAAGTTTAAAAGCTATATTTCCATTTAAAAAAATGTAGTTTGATGTGTAGCCAGAAATGGATGAAATCGATTAATTTATGAAATATATGATGCATTTCAAAAAAATATATATTTCAATAAATATATTTCACTTTATTTTTAAATTTGCTTCAAAAGATTTTAAAAATGTTTCAATTTGTACTAAGTTTTTCCATTGTCCCAAAAAAGAGGTTTCCGATGTATTATTAAACATAACAGCTTCATTAACGTTATGTCGTCTTAATTAGTGACTCCTCCGAGCAAGCTTTTGCCATTACACGCAGGACGTACACATAACATTGAATTTAAACACAACGAAAAACAGTTTGAACTTGTAAACAAAGAACAGACGATAATAAGCACCACGCGATTTACTTAACACAAACATCAAAATAACCAGTAGCTACTAAATACAATTTAAAGTCAAGTAAAATGTGAACCTTAAGAGTTTAAGCAAATATCATTTGGTACTGTTTGTATTGTAACTGTACATAGGCAGACAGGCCGATATCACAAACCCCTAGTCACGCTTTTGCTCTCAGATTTATAAAAGGGATAAAAAATACGACAATAAACTTGTCTGKCGGTAAAAYTACCTGTAGAGTGAAGTGGTTCAGGTGATTTGGGGACATATTGTATGTGTTTYTGGTTTGAATACAGTGGAAGATGATCTTTAGGCCAAAATGGTCCTGCGAGTTCGTGCTCTGTGCCTTGACAGTCTGTCCAAACAGTTCCGGGAGCCCTTTGGTAAGGCTTTTGAAGAGGTTTGCGAGGAATATGATTACTTGATGATCCAACACTAATGTTCTCTAATGCCGCTCTTGTGTAAGGACTGAATATCTTGTTAAAGTCATCTGATAACGGATCAACAAACGAAGTCGTCTTTTGTGCTCCTGATGGTGAGCYKGGYTCGTATGTGAAGTCATTTAGCTGTTTATCTTTATCAAACTTAAACCGATGATCAGAATCTTTAAGGAATATATAATTACGTTCTTTAGAGTTCACTGTGTTTTGTTTTGAAGTTCTAGTGTTMATTTTATTTGCATCTTCTTGTGTTTTCTTTTCGTGCAGYCGTTTCTTCTTGACTTCTGGTGGGGTGCCAAGAACGGCYCTGACTTGATTCTGCAAACTCTGTTCAACTGATGATCGTATTGACTCAATCCACAYTTTACGTTCCTCCTCAGTAGAAAATAATTCCTCWGCTTTYTTGGCCGACATCTTTGTGACCTCAACTCTAAGTTCTTCTGGTGAAGATGTCGTGGAGCTGTGAAGGAATCGTTCACTGAGTTCASTAACGTAWCCCTGACTTGCCTTGCGAATTCTTTCATTGTAAACTAATTCCCYGTTGCTAGTCAGGCTCATAGCTTRCCCCGTAGACAGATTAGAGTTTGGATGTTATTTACAAAGAGATTTATGACAAAACGAGTTTGCAAGCTTTGTTTGTTCAAAGTAGTTTTGACTTGATACGCGAGGTCTGTGAGCTAACAATCGCACGGTTGCCATGGAGCCCGAGTTTTAATTTACCGCAAGCGCGCGCGCATCAAAGAAATACTTCGAATTTTSAATATTTTCTTATAAGATTTAGAATCTTTTCTAAGAAATGTTTTCCAAATGCGAAAAATACTGTCGTAGCTTAAATGCTCCTTAGTTAATTGGCATCTTTTTACGTTGATTAAAACAAAAACACCATTCAATTTCTGTAGGCATGACAAAAATGCGCGCAAAAATTGTGAATTCCTTAACTAGAAAATCCAAAAACTGAATTTTATTTTATTCAAGAGTAGAATACCCTGCGAGCAGAGGAATTTTTCCCCTATCTTCTTCGTAGAAGGGGGTGGAAAATTCCTCTGCTCGCAGGGTAAGAGTAGAACATCGTATTTTTGACTGTTTTTAGACAAATACATGTTATTTTTCGAGTGTTATTATCAACACTCTGCTAATGAAGCCAGAAACTAATTKCACAGCTAAGAGTTGTCGGGATAAAACTCCGTCCACGGTTCATTGGTGCTTTTTGTTTGATTTTCTTTTCTTTTCTCTTTAAGCCAGTTAAACAAACATCAACAATAGCTTACAACTTTAATTAGTGTGAGAAATGATGTTTGAGTTAAGTACCGAGGCAAACAACTGAATAAATTTTGCACTAAACAATGGTTTTCCTGAACTCCTGTCGTAAAGTTTGAACATTGAATTAAGGCGTACGCCGGAACCTTGCCTTGATGATTTAGTTTATTATACTATAGTATGCGCTGCTGTGGACGTGCCGTTAATATGGGTGGTTTTCACTGAACTGTGAAATAAACACGAAGCTAATTTACCAACTTCAAGTAGACCTTTTATTTGTTCCAGGTTTTGTTTTGTTTTCCTTCTTTTTTCTTCATTATTTTTCTACTGATGCTGAAAATCAGTTGTCGGTTACAACCGTCGGAGCTATTAAAAAGACAGGAAGGTATTTTGGGTAATCATCATTTGAGTTAAATTAGTTATGCACATGCGGTCCTTTTATTCCTGTTTCACGGAAAGGGATGATGATTGCCTTACCCAAAAGAATTAGGAGAAATGAAAGAAAAGATAAGAAAATTTAATCTGGCAGAGACATGTATCTACTCGTCCTTTCGTGGGACTCGATCCCTCGACTTTACKACCACCGTACCGTTGGATTGGAAGACAACGGGGGTTTTAGCCTGCGTAGCCAGGCGTTCCTAACCGTTCCGAGAGAGTTTGGGCCGTAGAAACTGCACCACACCACWCCATACTCCTTTACATAAAAATATGGATATGTGGACTCCCTTTGGAGTAACCCTCTTTCTAATAACTTTAACTAAAAAAATAGACCGCTTGGCACCGAATGAGACTATTCCAGTTACCCTATGGCATAATTACGTCCTATTGTGTTCTTTTTATAAAGCCAAGGATTATGGTCACCAGCAGAAGGAGACAGAATGACTGAAGAAAATCTTTACGAGATATCAAGACTAGATCAACTAAAGTTCTACTTTTAGAGAGAACATTGATCTAAATTTTGATAGTTTCCGCGAATCATTTAGGGGCGTGGCGCGAAGTTGAAAAAAAGAGCCGAAATCCGCTAAATGAATTAAAACTGGATTCGACGACTCAGCTTTGGAAAATTAATGTTCYGGGAAATAGTCCCATTATTTTTAGAATTAATTGTCATGGGTTCGAATCCCAGCATGGGAGCTTTATTATTTGAGCTTTTTGTTGTCTTTTTGCCATTTCTACATTCAAAATGTTGTTATATGCTGTAAATATTGTACAATAATTTGATATATTAGAAAAATGAAATGCTAAAATATTTCAGAGCAAGGTGTTTTTTTTTGTGTGTGTGTGCATATTTCATTACTTTTCGTAACAAAACGAACACCTGAGCGATATTAGCATAAGTGAAAATTACACAGGGATACCAAGCCAAGAAGATTTCTTCTCCCGGGGCCAGCCCCCAAGGGATAAGTTGTTACTATAATCGAAAATCAAGCAGTAGAGACTTATCTTGCGCAGGACGACATTGAAGTTTGCGCGGTGATGAATATCAACAAACTGACTCGATAAAGATATCAGTTTCCTTTCTATAAATAACACATCTAAAAGGCAAGAACATAAATCATAAAGCGATTACTTTAACTGGCTCATAGATTTATTAGTTGCGCTAAAGAAAAAATAAATCAAGAAAGATTGTTTGCTTTTAGATTCATAAATTGCCTAGAAACGGCTGGTTGTAGCCCTTGACAACGGCGAAAATCATTTACATATAATATCAAGTAGGAAACAATAATGTTTAACGCTTCAAATTAAAAAATACGCTTAAATAAATTGATTAACATGAGAATTGTAGGCTTTTTGTACCCATGGAAATTTCCGTCATTTTGAAATTAATGTTGTACTGGGATGATAGCGCTCATTCTACGAAACCTGTTTTAGCGACATAGCAGACTCAGTCTTCTTTTGTGACATTGAAGACTTATTCATCTAGTGACAACCTGTCTTTATATATCTCAAACAATTACAAGAACAAGTCTGAATACAAATGAGGACGTTCTGAGTAGTATGAAAGGAAATCAGATTGATGTGTGAGATTCACTACGCAAAAGAACGAAAACCAAGAATTTATCTCTTTTTTTGCGACCAGGCTCCGACTGCGATCTGATACAGTTGTAACAAATTGCGAAATGCAAGTATTCCTCGTCCAGTTGATATTGTAGGTTTTTATAATAACCATCGAAAAAAATTCATCTAGAAAATCGAATAAGTCGATTTAAATGATTTCAATTTTCCTTTTAAAGAAACCATTGAAATGTTATTCGATCGTTGATATTGCTGCAGTATTGTTAGCCTGCCAGACCAATAACACGCGCTGATGGACAAACAGTATTGCCTTTTCACTCCATGGCACAATAACAAAGAGATAAAATTTTTACAAAATTAGCACAAAAATTGACATTTGGGAAGACAATGTTGGYCTCTTGAAAAAGAGACACGTCTGAAATTCTTTGATTTTTTTTTCACTTWTTAATTCTGTCCTAAAAAAACAGTTCCATKCGCAATTTCAACACAATTTCAAATTGAAAAGCCCTGCAAGATGGCTGGACTTTTGTTCGGTAAATTTATAAGTACAAGTTATATGCTAATGTGAAATGGTGGGCGTCATTCGTAAACTTGATCAACAGAGATCTTAACAGAGGTATCTATTCAGTGAAAAGAGCAGACACTGCCTAGTTCTTGGCATATATCGATCCAYTGGTAAGCTATCTACCATCAGCCATACTCTGTCCACTGAAGCAGTTTCCTTTGTTCCCTAAGGGAAAAGTGCCATTTCCTTCTCATATTACAAAATCGACTTTGCTCAAGCAAACGTCCTTTCCTCGCTCAAAAAGACATTCAGTTTTACACGTCAATTAAGTAGCCTTAAGGTAAGATTTCTCAGTCTTCTCATGTTTTCTTCTTAGTTTCCTCTTGAGTGCGAGTATCGTGTTTTCCCGCGCCAGGTGCAACTCCGTTCAACAAACTACAATCTCGATTTCCATAGCGTCTTTCACTCTAAGCTATGTGTATTTTTTCTCGTATCGCAATAAGCAAACAAAGGTCTACTTTTTTTAATATTCTTGTAGTCAATCTTTCGGTGTCAGGGGCTGACGGTATGACTTGTAGAGTTAACAATAGAAAGAAACTAATTGCAAATCATTTCGCTGTGCTATTGGACCAAAATCTATTTGCCAAATTGAATTTGAAATTTTTAGACGAAACCCAATCAGTCTTTACTCTTGGCATCATAGATGCACAGCATTTTTTTAACCCAAAGGCAATTGACATTAATCCCAAACGCTTTGGGTGTCAAAGGAATTTCTGTATTTAAATCGAAAGCAGTTGCATTTTAACCTTTTACACGCGCCTGTGTTTACGATCTCGTAAGAAGGAAAGGGGGCTTGTTCTGTAATGCTTCCTTAAGTTACTGCTCTTAATGACTCAATTACAATTTGTTTCCAACAGAAGCTAAACATAGAAAGATCCTGCGCACTGAAGGAATCATCGAGAATCATTGACAGTCCTAAGGATTTTCTTACAAGAAAGATTTGAGCGCTTCATTTTCAAGTGAGCTAGCAAAAAGTGACACATCACTTTTCGTCGCTCTTAAGGGAACAGCAAACAAACAAGAACTGGCTTGACAACGTAAAGAAATAACCTTGAATATATCCTGGAAAAGCGTTAAAATGACAGATAAAATCATCTATTTGTGCGGGGAATTCCCATCAAATCGAATGGAAGATGTGAACTCCAAGTGCTTGATTCTCGGCAACCTAGCATCGCTGTATTCAGTGAGAAGCCATCCTGTTGTCGATACTATCGATAGCAATTTTGATAAAACTGAACTTTACACCACAATAACACGATGCCATGTTTTTATTTTCATATTTAGTAAGGAAACGGTGAACGACACGTTTTACCTTAACCAGTTAGGCATAGCAAAGGCTTATGGAGTGCCTGTGATCGGAGTCCGAGAACCAAGTTATTTTATGCCAAATCCACTGCCGGAACAGTTTTATTTTACTGAGATTGTAGATTATACTGGTGTTATCAGAGATGGACGCAGTGACCGTGGGGTTCATGGAAGCGCTAAAAAACAACTTTTACTAGCTGACGCTCTGATTCATGATTTTAAGACAGCCATGGTATACGCGCCGGAGTTCCACAAGTCCTGTTTTCAACGACTTCTCCACAAAGTGTCTCAAGCTTTTAACAGAAGCGAAAACGAAAAAAAATTTTATTCGGGTTTGAAGGATCAACCGAGAGTTACTCCTTTTAAAGAGCTGTTGAATGCAACGAAAGATCAAGCAGCACTGAAAAATAAGATCCCAAAATGTCCGAAATGCGGTTTTATTCTCAATAAACATCTCTCCAAAACACCAACATTACAGCGGGCGTCGAGTACAGGGTCATTGTTAAGGAAGGGAGATGCTTTTGAAGGGGAGTCACTACAGCAACAAAAACAATTATTTCAGAGCAAAAAGGCGACCTTGCAACCAACTACTATTGTGATCCCAGCGCCACCGTACTCCGCGAAAACTCAAATCCTCCGATCTTCGACTCAGAACAACCCAATAATTCGTCCTCAGCCTTATAAAGTAAACGAACCTTTCATAGGAAAACTACAATCAAGACACACTACACTACAAAAAGAAGATGTTGATAAGAAAGACAACAAAAATATCATGAAAGGCGAGTCGAAWAATGACAGCGAAAAGAAAACAGAACAGGACAATATAAAAAACAAATCGCTACGGAAGCAGAGTCGCGTCGGGAATGGAAACTGGACCGATAAGCTCAGAATCAAATTGCGAAGACAGTCCAGCCTGCCTGTAATTCCTACAACCTATCTTGTCACGTCTCCTGCGGCGGGAGATAAACAATTATCATTTGTCAAATATCCCCCTGAGAGCTTTCTGCTTTCCCCGCGCCAGAGTCTTCTACCGATCTTTTCCGAGGATGAAGAACAAGAAACTATCCATATTTCTCGTCCCCCTAGTCCAGATGGTTCGAGTTGGTAAGAAAGTTAATATTTTGAGAGTGTGAGAGACTTTGAATTAGCGAGTTGAATATATTCTTGTTTGAAGTGTCATTATAGCAAACCTTGTGTTTGTGAATAATTCGTTTGTGTTAATTTACGCGCATTGGCTTATTATATAGACATATGATTWTTTATAGCAGCAAGCGGAAATCCATGTAAATTTAACTTTTTGTTGTATTTTTCTTTGTTTTGTTTTTGCTTKGTGACAGTCGTTGTTGTTGTTGTCGTWGTTGATGGTTGTCGTTGGCTTTGAAGAACTTTGTACTTTGTAGCCAATGATTTTGAAGAACTAAGCTACATGGAAATGATTATTGGGAATTAAGAATCCGGAGACATCGGGCGGAAAAACGATAAACGTTAAAAAACGATAAGCTCATACTTATTTTAATCACTATAAACCTTTCCAAAAATCATCCTTATTGAAAAAGTCGTTCTTTGAATTTTTATTGAGAAGAAGCCACACTGAAAATTTTACATTTGTCCAACTGCTGGTGACTGCAWTAAAATTATAACAAAGTTTTCCAGGAATGACCAGGAACAAAAAAAATAATGAGGTCAATGAGTGATTGTATAATCCAGGAAGGCAAAGAGCACGTACCCCCCAAAAAACAGTGCAAAAAAGCCATTGAAAGCTATTTTAATGTTGTAATTATATGACAAGAAATGCTATATTAGGATTAAAAGCACAGATGATTCTGATTTTGATTTTCCTGAACCAATTAGTCAAACTAGCAAAAAGACTAATATAGTTAATGACCTTGAAAAGGCCATTCTAATTAGAACATTAATTCAATAAAGTACGTACATGGAACATCTTTCTCATTCAGTTGTCCAAAAGTTCTCTGAGTGCGAGTATATCTTCGGTTTATCATTGAGCATTTATTCCATAAATTCCTTTCCTTTAGATGTAGTTTATATTGATTTTGTTTAGCATCAGTAGTAATTTTCTGTCTTTTAACCTTGATAGTGATCTAATACAAGAAAAAATGACATGTCTTTAAGTAATTA